CATAAAAGTTGATGTATGTCAGACTTGAACTGTTGTTTCTGCAGAGATGTAATGTGAATGCTGGCAGCCAAATGAGTAAAATCTGTTGACTAAATTAACTGAAGTGTTGAATAAAACAAGCAGAACAGAAGCTAAAATCAGCTAAAATGTAGCAAATCTAACTAAAAGCTAAATTTATCAAGACTTGATATTTGCAGTTTGAAAAACTGAAGTTAAATGTACCAAAAAATACCTAGCTAGAAGCAGAAAAAGGCAAACGTAGCTAAAAGTTACATTTAGCACAACTGTAGCTAAAAGCTAATTGTAGCAAATCAAAGAGAATATTATCTAAACTATAGATAAATTTCAAATGAGCAAAAAATAAGATTAGGCTAAATGTTGAAAAAAGGGTTACTTAAATAAGTAAAACTATAAATGAAAGCTAAACTTAGCAAAACTGCAGCTAAAAGCTAAAATAAGCTAGACTGGACAAAAAAAACAACCTAAAAGGAGCACATCAAGACAAAAAAGCAAGTTTGGAAAATAACTGAAGAGGTTCGGATTTTTTCTTTTACAAAAGTTAAATAATTAAAGTAACGTGTAAATATTATGAATTGTAAAGTCATAGTATCTTTTCCAATCGAACCAAATTTTTGGACACACGAATGGGTAACATAGCACGTAGTATGCAGGAATAATTTGCACAAAACATAAAAAAACAAACAGAACAACATGAATTCCTAAAATTCACACAGTTATTCTTCTTTTAATCCTGACTTTTTAATTTTTTTTAATGAAGCCATGACAAAGGAATGTTTTAAACAGGTTCAATTGGGACCAATTTTTGTATCACTTTTTTTAGGGATGCACCGATGTGAAAATTTCAGCCGATATCGATATCCGATATAATTATTGCTGTTATGGCCGATAACCGATATTTACCAATATTATACAAACACACAAATTATATTATACGTATGCACACAAACACACTTGGGTCTTTTTTTGATACCGTAAATAAATGACCAGACCTCTGACATGGCTCTACTTCAGTTATTCCTGGTTACGTAGCATTAGTATCACTATTATGATCAAACAGATGCTGCTCAACCAACCATCTCCCCTCCCAAAACAGAAACACAAAGATAAAAAGTGGGAAATCAATATCGGACGTTAATATCGGCCCAGTTTTACATATCGGACCAATACCGATATTCTAAAAAATTGCCAATATCGGCCGATACCGATATCAGTACCGATATATCGTGCATCCCTACTTTTTTCCAGACAGGATTACAAATATGTCACGCTGCGTTGTTCAACATGTTTCTTTTTCCACTCTTAACAAACCAAATATACAGTTTGGTTCGAGCAGAGCTGTGGAAATCTGCTCCTGCACCTTTTTTTTAGGCAGGTTTTATCAGGCAAAAGCAGCATTAAGGCCTCGCCGTGGAAGATCCTGAATTGGGCTGCATCCGCTTACGCACATGACTGGATCTGTGAGAGGCATGCTGCTTCTTGGCTTCTCTTTACAGAATCCGCTTCCAGGGGTCAGATAGAGTGGGAACGAGGGAGGTGATGAATGCCTACGCCCTCAAATGAAACYATATTAGATGCATGTTTACGCGAGCGCTCGTCGCGTCCTTTTTTAGATTTTAAACACCGACTGGCAGCATCGTGTCCTGATTTTCATCCTCAACAGCTTCTGAACTGCTGTTTCTGCTTCACATATGGAAACGCTTTTACTCGAACACATGCAGTCGCCTTTGTTTTATCTGTTCCTTTCACTGTGAGGAGGAGCTGACTGAGTTACAGTGGGTATTTACTCAGTGAGTCATGGCTTTTTAAGATTTCCAGTTYGTATTATCCCAGCTTGACGTATGGCCTGCAGGCTAACCAAAGCAGTCATAATAAGCTGTTTGCTTCTCATATTTTAGACCGAGCTGAAGAAGAAGTGACTTGATACTTCCTCTTCTGTCAGTTTCTGTCTTCTGCTAAATGGGCTAGAAGATATGAAAGTGTAACKGTATTAGAAAAATAAATTGGACAGAAAAAAATTAGACATTTTTTGTTCTTTATAGCGTTTGTTTTCCACCAAATTCCCTTTAATATCGAATCAGATTTCAATTATTAGATAAAACAATCCATCTTAAGTTGAGATTTAATATCCTGAGCCCATTGATAAAAGAACAAATCACCGTCAATTGTTAATTTTAATATAATAATGACGCAATTTACTGTCTCCTCCTTTTAAAACTCGACGTTTCCTCTGTGATCCCGCAGTTCTGTGAAACAGCAAGTGACATTTGTTTGAGATTTCAGCGCGCAATTTGCTGTGATGTCTGACTAATTCACAGTGACAATTAGAGACTCTTGCATCTGATCAAACACAGCAGTCAGTGAGTTGATTCCACTTTTGGTTTTGGTCCGCAGCCTCAGGCAAGACAGCAAAAAACAATGCCGTGGTTGTGCTTTTTTCTGACTTTAAAATCAGTGGTAAAAAAAAAGTAAAATGGGGAAATGTTTTAAAGATCTCCTCTTATCGTCTTTCTAAACAAACTGCAAACAAAACTTGATCTTTATCTGGTCTGCTTTTGGTATTTATTTGTCTTTGTCTTCCTGCTATATTTAATAATAATATTTGTTATAAGTTGTAGAAGTGTAAGGAGAGGTGAAGAAGGTAGATGTGTTGAAAACCTTTCCCTTCCTTCCCAGTCTTTTGTTTTTATTTATCGGTTTTTGTTTGGGTCCCCAGTTGGAGCTCGTCTGTGGGGCTTTGCTGAGTCACCTCCACCCAACAGAGAACATCTGCTGCCATGCTCYTAGCGACGACGTACATCAGAATTGATATGGGTCACTGTGGGAGGGGAAGGGTCGGCGGGAAAAAAAAACAAAACAAAAAAACTGTGATTCAGCAAACACAAAAGTGATGGTTTCATAGTTTTAACCAGGTTGARGTTTAACTTTAGCCTGTTTTCATACAGATTTCAACCAGCAGAGGGCAATGGTTAATTGTTATTGTTACCCATTTCAAACAAATGCATCAAACTTAAAAGTTAGTGGTAAATAGTTTGACAGGTAGTCTACAATATAGCTATAAAATATGCAAATAAAATATAGAAAATCACTGAAACAAATGACAAACATTAAGCTTTTTTATGTTTACAGAATGTAAATTTTCCCATGTGAGATGATTA